TTTTGGACTATACCTCATTTATGTTCGTTAATGCAGACTGAAATTAGTGAAGCAATCATGATTATGTAGTTAGCCTAATTTGGTAATTTAAGTTGAATATTTACGCGTAAGATTTCATCGGTTTCAAATGTAGAAAGTTAGACCATAATGTTGGATTTATATCTGAATGTTTTAGATAAATTTTTTATATTGCTGTAAAATTTCGTGTTTATTAGTTTTGGATATAGATTATGAAAGCTTTGATCCTTCGATTTCTACTCCATGTTTGGTTATTTAAATGTGTTTGAGTTTTATGATTTATTACTAGTTTGTTTCTAAATCAATTTTCATTAGTAGTTTATTTACTATTAGCAACTTAATTTCATTTTTTTTTTTTTTTTTTTTTGATGAATCTGTTTGTTGTCCAGATTTGTGAATAGTTTTAGAAGATATGAACCATTTGTTAATTCATGGACTGGTTTTTTAAGTTATTGATTCGGCATTGTGAAAACCCTTGTTTATCTGCTCTTCGAGATGTTTTATATTTCCATGTATATGGGACTTGATTCTTGTCATAAAAAGTTATACAAGTAATTTGCTTAATCATAGCTGATTTGGTAAAGTTTTGATACATACCTAATGTTAGATGCATTGTTTGTAGCAACTTCACTACTTAGGAGCGATGTTGGTTCCACTCAATCTATCGCGATCTGCTTAGAAGAGAAGCAAATAAACTATGTTTAAAAGAGGAAATAAATCACTATTTCTATGGCGATCAGTTCGGAACTGTCAGTTACCTGGTGTTGTTGCAGTTCTGGGGTTAGTCATCTTTGTCGCTTTACTGTATTCTCTATGCATTGGGGAAAATTCGGCCGCAGATAAAAGCATTTATGATCATGCAAAGCAACGGCTTGTATATCAAGTGCTTCCCAACCCGACTGTGGAATTTATAAAAGAAACACAAGTCATTTGGCAAATACCATCTGATCCTAAAGCAGTTCTGTTTATAGCTCATGGGTGTGGTGGCAGTGCCCTTAACTTTTGGGACAGATGCCCTGGGTGTCCAAATTGTGTAGGGTTGCCTGAAGAAAAGCAAATCGTCCTTGATGCTCTCGCTCAAAATTTTGCTGTTTTTGTTATTACAAAAGCTGATGTCTGTTGGTCATATGGAGAAGATGGATTAAGGGTGAAAGAAATCATGAAATGGTGGCTGGAAAAGCATGACTTAGTGAAATTTCCGTTGGTTGGTTTAGGGGCTTCGTCTGGTGGTTATTTTCTATCTGTACTTGCAACGGAGGTAAGATTTAGGGGAATTGTTCTTATGATTGCTTCCGGACTGTTTGATAAGATGGATAGCATCCCAGACAACTACCCTCCTACCCTGTTTGTGCACATGCCCAAGGATGTCAAAAGGGGAAGGAAGATTAACAGACACATTGAGATGTTGAGAAAGAAGGGTGTTGAAACTCAAGAGATCAAGTGCATGGAATTTTCGGTGACATCACATTGGCTAGGTGATAGAGTTGTGGGCTTAAACCAGACCACATCATCCAAGTTATTTGAACTGTTCTGCAGCAGAGGTTTTATCGATGCCAAAGGGTATATGGAAAATGATGGACGGTCGACTCCTTGGAGAGAAGCCCTGAAGCAAAGCGACATTCTTTTGCCATACGGATCTTACTTGATGCTTCACATTGAAGAAGAGCTGAATCTAGCTTATGCATATCATGAAATGACAAGCTTGCAGTCAGATCAAATCTTTGAATGGCTTAAAACCCACCTTTAGATTATAATCACGATTTAACATCTTACATTTAATTTTCTTTCAATGTTCAATCTTTCATTTAGATGCTCTGTACCTACGTATGAGATCATAACTGACTAGAAAAATGAGTGACGGCGCAATATCTTTTGGCTTTTGGGCTATAATGAACTAATTTAATACGATTGATTCAACTGCCTATGTTTCTTTTATCATGAAGTAATAGACAATCGTTGATTTGAAGTAATTTTCGATTTGAAACCACTTTGTCGCAGAGGTAAGGTTGTTTATATTGCACCCCCTTAAGGCAGGAGCTTATTTAGAGGTATTGGGTAGAAGTTTATGCATTATTGCTGATTTTTATGGAAGTCTCATGTGTACAATTTAGCAGCTTCATCCTATCTTATAAAGGAGAGAAATAAACCTGCCAAGGTCCAATTAGAGTCTGAGTTATACAACTAAAGCGATCTTTCGCTTCATTTGGATAACAGATGTACTCTCGATGGGAATGAGTTTCTCATTTCATGATTTTTCGTTTCAATTAGAATCTGATCAAGCTTATAAACTAATTGTATATAGGGGATAGTTTAGAAGCAATGGTGGTTGTTTGATTGAGCTTTTGATCTCATGTGTATAGCAGGCAATCTCAATGTTCCTTGGGACAGTTCCTGTGATTATAAATATATAACATGATTGGATAGGGAATGTGGAAAAAAAGGGACTAAGGGAGAGAAGAGGGAGGGTGAAAAGCGGGAAGACAATTATGGTTCTACACCGAATACATAAAGATTAATAAAGAATACCTGAAAATTATATATAAACAGAGGGAGTTATTATTGAATAAACTATGTGATGCTTAGCATTCCTCTCGCTTCCAACCTACAATAGACATTGACGACAATGATGCTTTAATTCTTTCAGTGCATAATTTAACGCAGCCGTAGAAAGTACCTAAAATAATATATCCGTGGAATGTAGCAAAAGCGCATGTATGAGCATGCACCGATGGGTGGCCGCCATGCCTAATGCCTCGTTGATGCTTACATGTTATGCTGAAAGTTGCCATGAAATAGAAGGCCCTTAATCAATAACAAGTTGTTTTCTGTTTTGACATCTTCTTCCCTTGTCGTCATTAATCACATATGCATGGGACATACACCCTATTAAGCTTACTGCTCTTCATTTCGGCCTTCCGAAAAGCAGTAGTAACACATGAACCACCCCTTTTATGATCATTGATAGTTAACAACCTTCATAAGTTTTGTAGCAACTACAAAGCTAGTTTATAAAATAACTTGCAACATAGGGAAGAGGAGTACTACATAGTCTACATATAACATTTATTACTGCAAAAACTAATATTGGTGAAAAAAAAAAATGGTTTGAGGAGGGTAAGATTTTGATAATTTCCAAAATATATAAGTAATCATAAAAATGTTAAATACATTGTAAAATATAATAAAAGTTTAGAAGTTGACAGTTGACACAATAATATTCAAATGAAGCAAACAAAATTTCTATTTGTCAATGATAATGTACATTCCTACATATTTATGAAATTTTATGGTCAATGTGTGCTAAAAAATGAAGGTTGTACAATTTTTTGCCAATGTCATGGAAATGGATCTTCCTCTACTAGGCCTTTTTCGTTTGAAATTACTTTTTAGTTTCCAGTTCAATTTATTTAATTTCCTCCCTTTATTTCCATAAACAAAAAGTTTCATATGTAGTTGGTCACACCTTGTGGTCGGGGTTACTTGGTCGGGGGTTACTCGATCGGTTAGGGGTTACTTGGTCAAGAGTTATTCGATCAATCAAGGGTTACTCAGTCGGTCAAGGATTACTCGGTCAGGGGTTACCCTGTCAGTATTTTAGTGTGTGCCAGCCGGCCACACGGTGTGACCAACCACAAAGAAAACACTTTGTTCATAAAATTCAATTTAGTTCAAATTCATTTGGTAAAAAAAAAAATTAGAACCTTATTCACTATCACGATGTATATCATATAATTATAGTTAATTTGTGGCTTTTCGATGTCCAAAAGAACTAAAAAAAAAAATTACATGGCTCTTAGCCAACCCATCAAGCAATATTGTAACCAAAAGAAATAAAAAAATTAAAAAATAATTATATGATTACTATTGAGTTCAATTAAAAAAAAGTACGAAGTAAATTCTTGACCAAGCAAAAAAAAATTAACTTGCCGACTTTATATCAAGATTCGAAACATATGTAGTGTATATTTATTTTTTTTATTGTCAAAATTTAATTTGATCAAATTGCCAAGTTCCTTTTCCCTACGTTCGCTACGTAAGGCCACCCAACCAAAGGGCGGCAAAAAAGATGCTCAAAATTATTGAAAGATGATCAAAATTTTCAATTTGGTCGGTTTGATTAGGCTCTTTTTGTTGTTTTGCATTACTTTTTTTTTTTTTGCTTCAATCTATTTAGTGACAGATACCAGCACTAAAATCTTAATCAATATCGACTCAGCTTAATTAATGATCCTCTTATATGACTAATTTCTCATATTGTATAATTGCATAAAGAGCCACAATTTATTACCTTGATAAACAAAATACATTTTATCTATAATTGCATAAAGAGCCATAATTTATTACCTTGATAAACAAAATACATTTTATCAAGTGACAAAATCGTAAATAAATCAATAAAATTATTCGGTCAGCATTTGTTTATCAAGGTGATAAATTTGTAATTTCTCATAATTTAGGAAGCAGAAAGAGAATATCACATTTTAATTTTGCCATTCAAACCATGGAACTTCTAGCCACAATGTCTAGTGTCATAAAACAAGTGTGGAAAGAAAGAAGATTGCATGTGATGACTATATTACTCACGCTCTTTATTTTACTACTCGTGTCGGATCATAAGTAGTATCTCTTCATTTTTGTATGGAAACCATTTGAAAAAACAAGCCGAGTGTAACACTTAAACGCATACCCATGTCTGATATGAGATCCTGTAATCCGAAAAACATAGGTTATGACTCTCATGAGTATGTTACCTTCCTATATAAAAGTAGCCAACATCATCATAAACTGCAGTCATATAAGGATGATAAGTAACCTACTCAACAGAAACAAATGCAAAAGCAAATAATAATGAAGTTTGGTAATTTAATTAAGAACAGAAACATGAGATTTGTTAGGAACAAAAATACTTGATTAATCTTGCTTTTGTCACTCAAGCTTGTCCAATTAGGCAGGTGACTAATCAATCAGTAGGACCAGCCAACTCATCAAGATAACACCTTTATCAAGTGGCAAGAATCTTGTCAATTCTACAAATACTTTATATAATCAGCAGTTATTTCATCTACAATTATAAGTACCTAATTATAAGTACTAATTCTAGTCATTTTAAGTTCTATAGCTAAACTTATTATACACTAAATCAGCAAGAGTATGCAGTAAGATTACTTTGCCAATGCTTGTGAAGTAAGAAATAAATTCAAAGCTATTCTGTCGTGCCTCAAAAAGTTCCTGCATGAAGAATGACGTCAGAAGCTGATATACCAGAATCCTTAAATATGCAAGTAAGTAGGAACTATGCACTCTAACTAAATGGTACAGTGTTTTCTGCTATGCTGATGCTTTTAATATGCCCAAAAATAAGCTTTATTTCTGCTTTATCGAAATATATTTTGTGTTTGTGAACCATTTTGGATGATCAACTTCTGATCATGTTTGGAGCTGACTTAAATATGCACTATGACAGTAACATTGAATCTTAAGCCATTTTGTGCATAAGTTCTGAATCCACTTCTCAAATTCTGTGTTTTGCTTCATTGTCTGTAAAACAAAACATTATCGCTACTAGAATCTAATAAATGTAGAAGTTCCAGCATAGCAGTGTCGTTAATAATTCTACCAACGTTAGGGTAACATACCCAAGGGAATCAAGATTTTAGAACAAATTCATTCTTAAATAAAGTTTCATTAACAACAAAAGTATAAGAAAACCTGGTTCCACTAGAGCTAAAATTGAGACAGTTAACAAGAAATATGACTTATGCTTAAAATATGTTGACAACACCTCAACTTCACATACATCACAGATAAGAATAACACAAAAGTCCTCTAGATTATGCTTTAGCTATCTTTAATTCTTTCTTCCCCTTCTAGATGTCTTTCCATCAAAGGTCTCAAAGAATACAGCTTATTTTCTATTTTCACTAAGTAAACCAAGAACTAAAACTGAACATATTTTCATTTCATGAAGGCCAAAACTCTTTTTGTTCCAACTAAAAAGATATGTAAAAGCGATGATAATTAAAATCCCAATCCCCATCTGAATCAGGGGCAAGTTTAGTTAAATTAATAGTTTATGAACCATCTTCAAAATTGCAAATTATGAATAAGTGATGAAATTTTAATGTTACGTATGAATAGATAAATATATGAATCATTTGGTAGATATAATAAAGGACTATTGGTTGTATTTGTTTTTTACATTGCATAACCTCAACCCAAGGCTTACTATAATAATAATAAGAAAGATGGAGTTTAGTGAGGTAGCTTTTTTCCCAAACACATTGACCTATGCAGGAACAATTTCCAGAATCATAATCTCAAAATCTCTTTTCGCAAATAAAACCTAGAAAAGCACATTGGTTTGATGGTAAGCTGAACTAGAGCACAATGTATAAAAAGGCTCAAGGGTGCACCAAGGCATTTCAGAGTTCCTTGTGCCTAAGGTGCGCCTAAGACACTACATAATTTATGCATACCCAGTTTCAGATTCCTTTGAACATACTCAGTTTCAGTGCTCCTTAAGCTGCGCCTCATCAAAATCGCCTCGCCTAAACCACAAAAAGTGCATAATCCGTGACGCCTTGCACCTCAGCGCCTAGTTGCGCCTTTTCAAACACTGCTAGAGCATCATGCATTCAGACTGTCAATTACCGTTAATTTCATTACTCTAGTATCCGGATAAGAGACATTATTATATAGTAAAAACTAAGCTATCATAAGTAATCATGAAATTATATCAAGTGAATAGCTAATGACAATTAATCAATCAATATAAATTGCCCAGAACCAATGAACCATTATACTTGAAATGTCTGCTAGCATCCAGTGATTACTTGTAGGGTGTACACAAAAAAAGCTGGACACAAGTTTGAAACAAATTCAAAGAATTCAATTCCAGAACCATGAAACAGATATCGGTGGACATTTGTTCCATGTGTAGCTAGCACTCTTATGGCACTGAATCCAACAGGATAGTATAATTTATAATTTGCAACTAGTCTTTCATAGGTTTAATTTTGTAGTGTAAAACAGCCCAAATGTGTTAAATGAAAGCAACCATACAATCTCAGTACATAATAGTAAGATTAATTTATTCTTTTAAGTTATAGTAGTGAATGTACTACAAATGAAATATAGTGTTTGGATACCTGAAACTGGAACAGGTTCTCATGATTCTGAGTCCATTACTAGTCTGAAAAGTAAAGTTCAATACTCTTGCTTTTGTTTGATGGTTCGGTTGATAGAGACTTCTCGTTCCTGATATCGGCAAAAAAAATTCTCAGTTTCAAGTCAAATTCTTTAATTGCATCCAAAGATCTGTAGTGTTTGATTAAAAGGAATATGAAACTCAATATGTTAAAAATGAGCAGGTAATTTTTAGAAAAATAGTACACATATCGCTGCTTAGGAAAATACGGTTTTAATAGAGGCATGATTTAACCCATTTTCCTTAAGGAAAAGAAATTTCAATCAAACAATAACACAAGTGAGTGAATCAATAAAGAACAGAAACTCTGTTCTGCCCCTAGGATGGGACTCATTTTGCTCTGAAGTAGCATTTATATTGAGCGTCTTAAAATTTAATGCATCTGAAAGCTTATGCTTTATCCTTGCACAGGCAAGAGATGAGGAAGATATAGATAAGACAGACAAGCAATGCATCTTAAACACAGACAACCATCCAAAGGAGCACGCTACCATAGAAAATGTGTTGCAGGCACATTATAAGCAAACAACTGGGACAAATGATGAGGAGGAAAGAAAAACAAACATCACTGTAGGAAATGGAAGCAGTGAATATACAGAAGGTGAATCTTTTATGTACCCACCAACTGTTGAAAAGGTTGCTTATGAAGACACTGTAAGACAGTCAAAAGATTTCACAGAAGCAATATTAGATGATGCAATAACCACGATATCAAAGACCAAAATCCAGCAGGACAGTAAGAAGCTTGCAACTGCAGAAGATGCAGATGAGCTGCCAACTGGAAGACCAGGTCTAGATGAAAAGGGCAGAGAGACTTCAGATAGCATGAAAATTGCTAATCAAGAACCTAAAAGTGGACATCATAATGAAGAAAAGGAAAGCGACATCAAAACTGACAATGATGCTTATAATGAAAATCAGGATAAATTAAATTTACATGAAATTAAGACAGTGGAACTTCCAGTTTGTGTCTTTGAGCAATTGGAGGGCTTAAAAATCGATTTGAAATCAGAAGACTTGGAGAAAACATTCACAGAAGCAGTCAAAGGACCAAGGACCATGACACAGAAAGATGAAGAAGAGAAGGTGGATTCCACTGGACTTGCAGATATTAGCGTGTTACATACATTTAGTTCCCCAACTGACAGTAATAAAGAGTCAATCTCAGAAACCATAAAGGATATGAAGGAGCTAGGTGTCAGCTCTTGGGAGAACATCAATACAGTCGGGGAAAAGAAAGGTGTAAATGAAGTTGGCAATAATAATAATCTAGAAGAGGTTGAAGATACAAGTAGATCAAATATAATGTTGACGGAAATAACTGACGCTGAAGGTGAGAACTTTGAAAGTAATACCAACAGCCACAGAGACAAAATTCATCCAGATGAAGGGGATCAAAATGAACAAGATACTTTCATATCTGAAACTGACTCAGGAAATTCTGTCAAGGGGCCTCCAGAAAGTGCCATGGAAATTCCTGAAAAATGCACAGTAGAAGCAGCGATGAGGCAGGAGGGATTAGAGACAGAAATTCTGGAGGAAGTTTTGAAATTGAGCTCAGAATACATTGAGGCAGGTGAGACAACAGACGATGTCACATACTCTGAGCACGGAGAAACAAAGTCGGACATTGTTTCTTCAGAGGATCAAAGAAATGAAAACCACACAGTGGGAGCAGGAAATTGTCATGCATCTAAAATTTCTCAAGATGTAAGCCATCCCTAGTTTCATCTAATAATTCAGTCTAAAAGTTTCCTAGTCATCCTTAACTCTTAAAACACAATTAAGGCACATGTATATTGCTTTTAGAATACCGCTGAGGCTTTTATGAAAAAAAAAAAAAAAAAAAAAAAAAAAAAAAAAAAAAAAAAAAAAAACTGACTTCAGAGGGGATGTTAAATTTCAGAATGAAGATGATTTACTCTTTAGCAATAACACAGAAGCTATAGACAGAGGGGATGAAAAGAAAAATTTATACACTGAATCTCAACAAGAACAAGAAAATCAAAAGATTGAACTTTCAAAAGAAGAGAGCTTTCCCAAAGATCAAGCCTCTGAAGTAAATAAAACCAAAGAATTCACACATTCCGAAGTGAACTCTGATGAAGACATGAAAAAAAATGGTGCTGACTTTACAACAAGTGTAACTAAAGAAGAAATGATGCAAGAGTTTATGGAGTCTGATCCAGAAAAAAGACTAGAGGTGCAAAATGAGAAGGAATCAACAGAAGCTAAAACCAAAGGGCAGGCTTCCGACAACCATTTACAAGAAAGAAAAATAGCCAGTAAGTGTTATAATAGCTCATTTCTTATTGATAGATCTTAGTGCTAATAAAACTAACAGTAGAGATATACATGCTATAACATATACTTAATTCTTATTTCTTCAATAAAGAAAGATGCAGAAACAAATGAAATGAACATAAACATTGGTTGAAACAGCATCCTAACTTTCAGTGACTTTCATTAACCTTCTATAATATATCAAGGTTTGCAAAATAATTTGCCGGAGAATATACAATGACAGAGTAATTGCATGATAAGGAAATAAGATGTCGACATCATAATGAAGCAGTTGTATGACTTGTATCACACCGTATATCTGTATGAAGACAATATCTTTGTTTATAATTGTCTTCCTTTTATAAACCCATCAATTATAATGATGACAGTATAAACCTTAGTCAATGAAAACCAAAAAATGAGGTTTCAGGTTATACTAGAAGTTGCTATGCTTATATTCTTTTAGAACCAGCACTTAGTTTTTAAAATCGCAACTCAAAGTATGCTTATCACATAACTCTAATCACCCCTACACCAAGTAAGCATTGAGCAACAAGATTGTCATTGGGTATAAATAAAAGCACACACCACCAACTCTCTCTATCCTTTAATTGGGATGCGGTTCAAGATACTAATAGCATGGATATGCAAGGTGCAGGTGATGCAGAGGAGGAAACAATCTGTAAATACGATTCTACATCAGTCAATATTTCTCCAGAACAATCAGCTGAGAGAACTGATCAATCGAGCTTTGAGGTAAAAGAAGCAGAAATCAGCAGGGAGAAGAAACAATGCATTGATCTAGATGACTTCCAGAGTAAAAATCCAACTACTGAACAGGTATGAAAGAGATAATGAAACTTTAAATGGACAGCAATTTCAATCTTGTGATACATTTGTGGTAATTTGACCATCATCCATCACTAGGATCAAAATGGATCAACACTCTTGGAGGAATATACATATGATGTTATCATGCAAGATTCTACTGACAGAAGTATGGATGACAGCTTTCCAAAAGAAAAGCTACAGAATCAAATATCTGACGAGAACCATTCTGAAAAAGCAGAAACAAACCAAGAGATTATTGAAAATTCTCCAAGACAGGATGAAGTTACCGAGATTTTAAATGACAGTATGAAGTTTATTGAAGCAGATGCAACAATAGACAAGCAACATGAAAATCTTGAAGATGAGGATATATACAATCTAATAAAAAGTGTTCTGACAGAAAAAGTAAGAACTTGTTTTGTTTATCATTCTAGTTATAACCCCCACCCAATGAAAGAATAAGATCAGCTTGAAAGGAAATGCCTCAAAAATTTTATGGAGAAAAGAAACAGAAGCTTTTCTCCCAGATAATTGTAATAATTTTTGGGCCAAAAAATATTGAGCCACATAATTCTCAATTGCAAATTGTTTCAAAACAACTTACCATGACACTTACCAAGGGATTTTTCAGGACATAAAAGCAGAATTAGGTATCATTGAAGTACAAATGGATAAAAATACATATGCACAAATTTGTTCCGACGAGATTCATGAAGAAAAAACAGTCGCCAAGAAGGAGATTGTGAATCAAAGTTCTAAAGAGAGCAACTCTTGTAGTGAAAAACAAGGTCAAGAGATCGCTGAAGCATGTACACAAGTTCTGAGGAATGACGAATGGAAAAGGATTGCTTGTGAAGACATTCAAGTCAATGAAGTTGAGGAAGAAGCAGCTATTGATAAACAAAAATGTAGCAAAGAGACTGAGGATCAGACAACAAATGGTGACTCCACAGACATGGTCGATGGAGTAGATTTTAAACAAGAAAATGAGAATCTCATAAGCATGGTGGAAGATATGAATCAGGTAACTTATAAACTATTAGCCATCCAGTCATATTACACGCCTCTTCCCTCCACAAGATGGAAAAAACTGATATCTATATATGTTTACGAAATAACTGACCATGGCCTGCTGATTTTCAGGTCACAAATGCTGAATCAGACAATTTAAACGTACTAGAAGACAAGCTTCATGAACAAACTGGTTACAATCCGGATCACAAAACAGAAGTGGACAATAATGTGGAATATGTGAATCAAAGCTCTGGAGAGGGAAACTCTTGCAATGAAAAACAAGATCAACAGAAGGCTAAAGCATCTACACCACATATAGAAGCAGAATTTGCCATTTCAAGAAAAGGTGAATGCACTAGGGTTTCTAGTGAAGAAGTTCAAGTAATTGAAATTGAAGAAGAAGCAGCTATTGATAAACAGCCATTTACATCAAAGACTCATACCATACCTGAGGTTGGAGAAGAGATTTTACTAGCAAATGCAAATTCCAAGAGTGCATTGGAAGACTTGAATCAGGTAACGTATATTTGTCTTGCTAGACCAAGTCAATCAGAGAGCTTAATATAGTATATTGCTTCACCATTACACAAAAAGAAAAACATAGTCTTCCTCATTATACTTAGTTTCTATTGGAATCAAAACCAATATTGCAGGACAAAAATGCTCAATTGAGCAGCACTGAAATAGAAAAGGATGAAAAAGAAAATGAAGATAATTGTTTTAGTGAGATCCATCAAACAAAAGCGGTGAACAGTAAGGAGATTTTGAATCAGAGCTTCGAAGAGAGCAATTCCTGGACTGAAACACAAGATAAAGAGATTGCACAAGCATCTACACCACCTCCAGGAGCCGAAATCATTCAAGTCAGTGAAATTGAAAAAGAAACATCTATTGGGGCAATTGAGCAACAAATCATAGAAAATGAGAACTCCATGTATACATTGAAAGATGTGGATCAGGTAACAAAAGTCATCCATGAACACCTTCTAGTAATTTTTTTGAGCTTCTCAATTACAATAGCGGAAATATCAGCCTCAAAAAATCTTTAATTATCATGAAACTAACTAGGTGCGATTTCAGAACATGAGTACAAGATCAATAATCATTGAAGCACAAACAGATGAGCAAACTGGTTCCAATGAGAATAACGTAATGGGTGAGGCGAACAATGGAAATACTGTGATTCAAATATCTGAAGTAAGTGATCATTGCGGTGGAAATCAAGATCAAGAGGTTTCTCAAGGATTTACACATCTTACAAAGGTTGAAAACCTTGTTCTAAGCAATGAAGAATTCACAAGTATCTCTAGTGAAGGCATCCAAGTTAGTGAGGTCAGTGAAGAAGCAACAATTGACGAACAACAATGTATGTTAGAGATTACAAATAGGGAAAAATCAGGTGTTTTTTCATACGAAGCCAAAGGAGTGGAGGGTTTACTAGAAAAGGAGAATTCCGTCAGCATCATGGAAGATGTGATTCAGGTAACTTTTTAAATTTAACATGCATGACCATGTCAGAGAACTTAATCATCCACAAACACTCGTGTCGTAATTTTATTTTTCTCTCTATTTTATATGCAACAATTGACAATGGGAGTAATCATGTTCAGGACTTAAATGCCCAAAGAGGCAGCATTGAAGTACAAAAGACTGAAAATACAAATGCAAACTCTTCTTTAAATGATATTCATGAATTACAAGCAGTTAACCATGACGATTTTCTAAATCAAAACTACGAACAGAGCAACTCTTGCAGCGAAAAAATAGACAAGGATACTGTTAAAGCATACACACCCCAGCTAAAAGCCAGAACCTTTGATCCAAGCAATAATGAATGCACAATGATGCCTAGTGATGAATTAAAAGTGCGCGAAGATGACAATAAAACAACAATTCAGGAGCAACAATGCTGTGCAAAGAATGAGCATCCGAATGGCGTGTGTTCAGATGAGGTTATGAGAGTGAAAAATGTAGAAGGGAATCAGAATTTTATGAACATAATTAAAAACAGAGACCAGGTAATTTTTTTCACAATAATTCATCCGTACACACTTCATTGTTCCATTTCAAGCCTTTTGCCTCTCCACATGGAGGGAGAACTTATTTCATGCCTCATAATTCTTAAGTTCAAATCCTTACTAGAAGATTGACCATGCACCTAACTTGAAAATGTTAGGACATGACGTCTGAATCAGATAACACAGATGTACTACAGGATGAGAATACACACAACCAAGCTGATTCCGAAGACATTAATGAAATAGAAGCGATCAACAATGAGGAGATTGTGAGTCAAAGCAGCAAAGAGAGTAACTCTAGCAGCGGAAATGAAGATCAGGACTTTTATCGAACATTTATACCACATCTTGAAGCCAAAAATGATGTCCAAAGAAATGATGAATGTAGTAGTATATGCAGTGAAGATATTCAAGTCACTGAAATGGTAGTAAAAGCAGCAGCTGATAAGAAGCAATGTACTTCACAGGATGAAGATCCAAATAAGACAACTGATGTGTCTTCAAATGATGTCACAAGAATGGAGATTGTACAAGAAAATGAAATCTCCATGAACAAAGTGGGTGATGTAGACCAGGAAAATTTATCCCAACAAATCATCCATGTACACTACATAGTCACATATTTAGCTTCCCCACCTAGAGGGATTGATTTTTACCTCATTATTTTGAACTTCTAATATTTAAAAATGATTGACCATATAATTAATTTCAGGACAAAAGTGCTGTATCAGACAACATTGAAGTACTACAAGCTGAAAACACAGATGTACAAACTGGTACCAAAGACATTCATGACACAATATTGGTCAACAATGAGGAGGTTACGGATAAAAGCTCTGATGAGAAAGGCTCTTATTGTGAAAAGAATATTCAAGAGACTAATGATGCATGTGCACTACAAGTAGAAGTTATACATCATGCTCCTACCAAAGATGAATGCACTAGGATCTGTAGCGAAGAGTTTCAAGTCAGTGAAGTGGAGGATAAATCAACAATTGACAAAAACAAATGTAGTTCAGAGACGGATGATCCAAATAAGACAAAAGAGGGTGTTTATTCACACAAGGTTAGAGGAGTAAAGTCTAGAAAATGAGAATTGCATGATCATACAAGTAAATTTAATTATGCTTGACCTAGGATATAAAGAATCTAAAATCATGCTTGACCTAATCAATTAGGTAACGAACTTAGTCATCATTAAAATACCTAATTACAATTAGTTTTCCAAGGCAATATGCACTGGTTAAATAAGATGTTTTCTGCTCATAACTATTAATTTTTTATTTTTTTGAGCGAATTAACCAGAGAAATTTCAGGACATGAATTCCCAATCAAATGATATACAGAAGGATGAGAAAACAAATGAACAAATTTTCTCCGATGAGATTCATGAAACGGAAGGGTTCAGCAATCAGGAGACTGTGAATCAAAGCTTCGAAGAGAACAACTCGTATAGTGGAAAGAAAGATCAAAAGAGTTCTCCAACATCTACACTGCTTCTAGAAACCACAGACCCAACTTCAAGCGATGATGAGTGGACTAGGCCACCAGGTGAAGAAGTTAAAGTTGATGAAGTTGAGGAAGAAGCAGTGATTGTGGAGCAACGATGTAATGCTGAGAATGGGGATCCAAATAAAATAAAAAATGTTGTTTTACCAATTGAGGTTGGGAGAGTAGAAATTATACAAGACAATGAGAATCATCATAACATAGTGGAAGACGTGGATCAGGTAACTTTCATCTTTAACCTTGCCATTCTAAATAGTTTGGTCATTCTTTGAGACTTCCAATTAGCATTGGGATCGTTCTCTCTACACAATTCGGAAAGTAAATCGTCAACTACTAACTCGTATATTTCTAACTTCTACGAAACAATTTCCCATGTACAAAAGAAAGGGACATTCCAAGACACAGATACAGAAGCAGACAGCATTGAAGCACAGAGGAATGAAAAGGCACATAAAGAAACAAGTTTATATGAGATTCAAGACACAAAAGTGGTCAACCAAAAGGAGACTGTCAATCAGAGCTCTGAAGAGAACACTTGCGGTGAAAAACAAGATCAGGGTACCGCTGAAGCATCTGAAATTCGAAGAAAAGACGAATGCACTAGAATCAATGGAGAAGAAATTCAAGTCAGTGATGTAAAGGAAGAAGTTGCAGATGAGAAGCTGGAACGTAGCTTTGAGACTAAGAATGTAAATAAGATAACAAATGGTATTTGTCCATCTGAGGTCAAGGGACTGGAGATTGAACAAGAAAATGAGAGTTCCATGAACATTGAACAAGATCTGGATAAGGTAACATTATTAAAAGCTAGTAGTCTAAGGGCACAACTAGTCACATTTCAAGCTTTTGCATCACACATGGAATAGGATTATATGCGCTGCATAGTTAATACTCCATAGGTTCTAATGTTTAAATCAATTGACCCTGTAACTAACCAAGAGAAATTCCAGAGTAAATAATAGTAAGTGGGAAAAGTGTTTACATTACATGAAATAAATTCCTAAAGAACATTTGTTTGCTTCATGATTGTTAATTTAAAATTTTTTTCAAAACTAATTGACCATGTACTAAACCAGGGAGCTGTACAGGGAAAAATTCTTCAACCAGAGAGCCATGAAGTGCAGCAGGTTGACCAAACACATATGAAAACTTGCTTGAATAATTTTGATGAAACAGAAGCAGTTAGGCAGCATGTAGAGATTGAGGATCAAAGTTCCAAAGAGAGCGACTTTTGTAATGATAAACAAGATCAAGAAATTGCTAGAGCATCTAAGCCAAATATAGAAGCTGAGTATCCTGTAATAGATAAAAGTACAATGATCTCTAGCAGTAAAGTTGAGGAAGAAGAAACAATTGAGATACAGCAATGCAACTCTGAAGATCCAAATGACATAAAACATGATGTGTCTTCATATGAGGTCAGACTATAGTTGGTTTCTCTTTTCTCTATAGTTTTATATCAATAAAACAAGATATATGCATAACTTAAAAATTAGTAGCTGACAAAAATATATGATCATGTATCAGAGAATTGAGGAAGATAATGTCATTGAGAGCGAACTTAATCAACCTGTAGGCACTGAAACATCTGGACAAAACGGTAACATAAAGAAGGATGGTTTGGATCTAAGTCAATCTGCTAAAAAGTCCAATGACCACACACAATTAATAGAATACAACACAGCAGCAGGGTTGGAATCAGAGCATCATAAGCATGAAAATGAGGATCCAAGGGAAATGACCAACCGCTTCGAAGAAGAGGTAGATCCCCCTTTGTTTTGATGCATCTTTAATTTACCACACAACAATGAAATACCTACACTTTTACCAATAAGGACTAAATGATTTAGTTCTAGTCAAGATTTAATACAGGAATATTAATTTCACTGACACACAGAAGAAAGTTCCTTTTTCACTAACAAGAATCCCATAGAGCAGAAAGTACAAGTGTCAGAATCATCATTCTTAAAAGTAATTAGTAATTTATCAATCATAAAAAGAAAAAGGAAGTGTTAAGAAACAGAGAACTTACAGTGAAACTTTTCTTTTCCTATGGGGAATAGAATCCAGAACCAGCTTCCTCTACTAGAGGATAATGATTTCTAATCGTTCTGTCAAAAAGTACAAAACAAATAATTAGTTGCCAAGTCAGGCTCAAAAACTTTTTCATCAAGTGCTACCAATAACGTATTAATTTATTAAGAAAAAGACTAAACTGGTGTAAAATGATTGTGATGAACCAGGTGAAACATACTTATGAATCAATCTCGACAAATGAGATAGACACGGTCAGTGAAAAGGTCAAGTATGTGGAGCTAGGTGCATCAATTGCAGGAGAGGTATCAAGTGTGCAATATGTCTTGGCCCCCGAATTTGGTATTTCAAGAGAGAGCATTGACAAGGAGGGCAAACAGGGGGTAGATACTATTAAAACCAAGGGTCTTTTGGAAAGAAACAATATGAAGGCCCTTGAAGTCAGTTCAACTGACGAAATTCAACATTTAAGTGTCATAAAAGAGTTTCCTCACAAGGTTGAAGCCGAAGAGGTCGAACTGATTAAGCTAACTGAAATAGATCATGATTTCCAAGATAAGGCTTCTACAGAACTACATGCAAAGAAATTTTTTGAAGACCAGGAGTTTGATGATGCCAAACATGAAGAAAAACTTTCCAAAGCTACAATATCCGATGTAAACAGTCAAGATGTCACTGAAATAACAACAGATGAGACTGTACAAAAACATAATTGGCAAGCAAGTGAACCACTAGACCAGCTGCAAGAGCCATCATCTAAAGAATGTGAGCAAAAGATTGAAAGTTGCAAAACTGAAGATAGAGATGAGAGCACCAAAACAATGAAAGGTCAGAAGGATGAAAAGCCAAATGACTCATCTGAAAAGACATCACAAGAGACATGCTCGTTAGAAGAGGAACAAAGAGAGCTAGAAGTATCAAACTCAGATTTTATACCAAGTGTGGTCTTACTGAAACCAGTAGTGAAAGATGTGACAAAAGATATATCACACAAGCCAGAGCCTGAAAACGAGTCATCAGAATTTCAAGGTGCAACTTCTGCCTCAGAATATGAACTAAATTCAGAACTTGAGATGTCGATGTACAGTTGCTCACAAGAGAGCAAAAAGGAGAATGAATGCCAGTCTTTAGAGAAGTCAGAACAAACCAACGATATTTCTGTTCAATATGAATCATCACCTGAACTTATTTCCGAAAGAAACGTTGTAAATATGTGTGAGATAGCCTCTGATATTCAAGAAAGAAATGAAATCTCTGAGCATATTGCTAAACAATATGATCAAGAATGGATAAATTCAGAAGATTGCAACGAAGACAAAAGGCAAAAGGCAGCAAAAACTCAGCTCACAATGGGAGAAAATAAAAGCAAGGACAGTGAAGAATACAAAGATCCAATATGTGATACTACAATTACAGAGGTAAGAATTTGCAACACAATTTTTTTTTGTAAAAAAAAGGTATATATTTGTGGCCCACACTGACAATTTTATATTTTATTTAGGAGAAGATGCAGATTAGAGCACTGTAATAGATACTTATAATACAACCTCTTTCGCAATCTTTAAGGGGTAGGGTAGAGTAATTAACTAAGTAAACATCCAAGAGGGATGAAAACTTATTAATAACTACTCGTGTTATTCAAATAAGTTGTTAAATCAAGAGAATCATTTGTGTTACGGGAAACCTAGCAGGTGTTCAAAAATATTGTGAGTTAAAACATTCCTTGCCTTGATTTACACTTCTTGAACTGTTAGGAAATTTCCTAAATACCAAGTTTTGGGATAATGGGAAACATAGAAGTGTAAAAATACAGTGAATTGAAACACTCACGGAGTCATGGACTATTATAAACACTTCCTTAATTATTTTCTGTAGTAGATGCCAAGCTATAATGTTCGCCAAAATTGACCCATTAAGTGAACCAGGTGAGCTCTATTGATGACTCTATGAAGGAAGCTTATAAGCAACTAAGTGAGAAAAATGCTTTTGTGCAAGTTAATCACCTAGTTCAAAACCATGAAATTCTACATAAAGTAACTGAATCCAATGAGATGAATGGATCAAATTCACAAGAGGCTCTTCTGCAAAGAGACATGGGGGATGATTTTGATATCAGCACATCTGTGGAAACTCAGAAGATAAATGACAGGCAAATGTTTCCTCCAAACGCTGTAGAGATTGATATATTATCTGCAAGAGATGCCGAAGAAATTACAGATGTAGATGAGTTAGAACGAGATTCAAGTGATGAGAGTTCAAAAGAAACCAAAGCAAATCAGTTCTCAGAAAAGCTGGAGCAAGATGATGCAAAAGGAGAAAATAAATGTCAAGATCAAATGGCTATTCTCATGCATTACCAAGATGTCATAGAAACAGATGTTGTAGCAAGGCACATTACCCAGGCAAATGAAACGAATGAGAAACTTCAGGCACCAGTGTATCAGAACCTTGAGGAGACAAATGAAACTACTAAACCAGTTGCAGAAATTGAAGGGAAAACAGATGATAGCTTATCTGAAAAACAAGTGAAAGAGATATGTGTGCCAGAAAAAGAACAAAAGGAGCTTAAAGTCCTAAATTTGAAAGATGAACCTAACGACGATTCACTGTCAAAGCAAGAACTAGTAGAAATAGTCCAGACCACTGGTGATTCAACAATGAAAGAGCCTGAAGACTTGTCAGTGGAGTTAGAGGCTACTACTTCTACAGCAAAGACCGAGACAAGCACAGAACCAATGAATTATTCTGAGCCTTCCTCACAAACAATAAAATATAAAACCAAGGTGCAGGATTTAAAATCCACTGAGTTCCATGAGCTGACAAAAAGTTCTCAGGAGGCACTAGAGCGCAAAGGTGAGGAGCTGGCTAAATCAGAAAAAACTCTTCAGGAAAAGGATCACCAGACAAAAAGCAATGAGCTCATAGCAGAAGAAAGAAGTTTGAACAACTTTGGAGCACATGTAGCCGCAACAGATGTGGTGAATTATGATAAAATTGCAGTAAGTACCTTTTTTGAAATCATGTGGTCATTGGTAGTACAGAATCTGTTTCTTGTCTTCCATTTTTCGTTTATTTCAATTACTTATTTCATCCTTCAAATTTACTGCATTGCCATAAAGCCAATCCTTTACCTATGGTAATGCCATATAAAAACGGAAAAAAAAAAAAAAAAAAAAAAAAAAAAAAAAAAAAAAAAATGGAGATGGGTGGAACATGGGATGAGTGATAAGATTCTACAATTTTTTAATCTAGTATTAAATTTCTATTCCAGGATATACCAGTGGCAATGTTTTTTCAATAGCACTCCTTATAGAAAGCTAAATGCTAAGTGGCTAGCTGTAGAAAAGTTTGTTTGATTGAGCATAAATTATTTTACAAGCACTTCACAGTTAATTACTAAATCAGAAAAGCTGGATCCTTTGATTGAAAACCGCCAGTGGGTGACTAATCAGCAATTAAGCAATATTTATTTAGTTCTTTGGCAATTGAAATTATATTAACAACCAAAAAAAATTTACACACAACCACCAAAACTGACTACACACACCGAACAACTATAAAGCACCTCAATTCTGAGCTTCTACCACCACCTCCCGACATTCTGGGAAGCCACTATATTATTACATATCACAACCAGAAATCACTAAACATACTTGTGATAAATTTTATTTTTTCCCAATAGTACTCTCTCCACAGATCTAACATCAAGTAAATATTTTGTCTGTTTCTTAGGTACTTTCGAATGATCCTACACTCGCACAACAAAACCTGCAGGAAACTAAGTCACATGATAACGTAGAAAAGAGGAAAATGGGGGAAGAACAGGAGATGATGACTGAGTTCAGCAATTCATTTGTCGATGATGGAACAGATGCCAAAGCTACAAGACATGAGCTACTTGAGCACAAGGTATACTCATCTTCTTATCAATATAGACCTTATAATATTATTTTAACCAGCAAAAACCACAAAATATGATTAATTTCTGCTCCACAGGACTCCGAAGGATTAAACGAAATCCAGAATGTGAGAGAACTCAACATTCTACATATTGAAGAAAAAGAGCAAGAACAGCAAGAAAAGTGTGAAAAGCTTCTGGACTCATCTCAATTTCAAGACTCATTGAGTAATATCCCTAAAGAGGCAAGCATTGATGATATAAAGCGACTACAGGCTGATAATAAAGAAGAACACAATGAAACTGAAGTATATGCACAAAAGGGCTTATCTACAATTGAGTCGAAAAGAATTGGAGTCACCTCAAATGATCCTGCCAAAGAAAACTCAGAGAGAGCAGTAACAGTTGACAATTCCAGCATAGCAAAGAACGAGTATTCAGAACAAATACCCGAAAACCAGAACAAAGCCCAAATCAACTCAATCACATTGGATACAACCAACAAACAACAAGAAATCATTCTACAAAGAGACACAAACAAAAGCAGAGAAGATGCAGCATTGAAACCCAAAGAATCGGAACTGAAGTTACCTCTAATATCAGAAGGTTTAAGGGAAATAGACCCAAAAACAACCCAGAAAAGATCACAAAACTTATTATCAGGAGTTGGGTCAAAAGTGAAACATTCAATTTCCAAAGTGAAGAAAGCCATAGCATGCTCATCATCTCAATTTCAACCTGAAGAAGTCATAGTAAAGCTAAATAAAAATAAGAAAAACTAAGATAAGCCATAAACATAGCTTGAATTGTTCTTCAAAAAACTTTTTTTAGTGATTTTTAATAATGCTGCTACTATATGTAATTCAGCAGAACATTGATATATGATATTGCTTAACATTGTGAGGTTGAATTTGTGTAATTGAAACGTGAGTGATTGAATTGTGTACTCCATCTGTTCCCTTTTAATTGCCTCATTCCCCAATTCTTCTTTTATAAGAGCATAGTTGATGGATGCCACGGCACCGAGCATCTACATTGATGGGAAAACATATAGGCTCCCCATTTGACAAAAAATGAAAAGGGAGACTTTTCCACCAATGTTACTCATTTTCCATTTGACAAAAATATTTTAGGGAGGTTAATATGTTGAAAGTCTCACAAAATTATTGTGGTCCCAGTTTGCCCCAAAAGTTGTCAAAACCAACGGTAAGAGCAAGATTAGCTGTAAGTCTTAAGACTTAAGATGACATCATCATTTTTAAAGTTTTTGGTCTTAAGACAAATCTTTGTTTTTTTAATACATATAAGAAGCTAAATTTAAACAAAATCTGAACTAGAGTCTTGAAAACTCAAGACTCAACTCTACACTCTATACACAGTGTTTTCACTACATATACATCAAAACACAGTGTTTTGATTAAAAAAAAAATTTAATACATTAAAATCTATGTACATTTCTTCAAAAAAAAAATTCTATGTACTTTATTTCAAAAAAAAATGTATGTACGTTGTTTCAAAAAAAAATTATAGATATGTACGTTATTTTTTAATTTTTTATATACAAAAATCATATTGTTTGTTTTATTTTATCTTAATTATGTACCTATTTTGTTTCAAAAAAAAATAAAAATACGTACCTATCATGATTTAACAACAATTATCAATTTAAATTATCCTATATTTTGTTATTGTTTGTTGGTTTTTAATACTTATCATGTATTACCTAGTCATAATAAAACTACTCTATATATGTATTATAAAAACTAAATATCCTATTGATTTTAGTATTAATACAGTTTTTTAATCCCAATTTTGACCAATTTATTTTTATTAATTGCAACTTTGGATTATTCCTCTATAATCCCAACTTTGATGTGGGCTATCATTCTTCAAACCAAAAAACTGGGAACTGGCTAAGGAAGTGAATGTAGAGTCAACAATCCTCAAAATTGACTTTAATCACCAATTCCCTCCTAAAATGATGTCCAATCAGCATCTCCTTCCAACTACTCCTTCCTGGCAAAATTAAAATCCCACCATTAATACTCTGCAACTTTCACTTTCCCCCCAATTACGACCCATTGTACTACTCTGAGAATCCCAAAAATCGCAATGGGAAGGTGAAATTGTTTTCTAGGGTTTTCATTTGAGGAAAGAAGCAGCTTAGTTGATGAAATCGAAGCAAGGGACGCAAGAAGGAAGTAGAGGCAACCCTAAATTCGCTTTTTTGTCATGTTTTTTGTTTAGTCATCAATTTAAAGCAATTTCGACATACAATAATGGTTTATAGACTTATAGTTATGTGAATTCTTGTTTATGAATTGAAAATGCCATAAAAATCAAAACTTGGAATTAGGGTTTCTTTGATGTGAATTCCACGGCTGTTTGTGTTTCTGTGTTGGTTTAGTGGTTGATTTATGTTGCGTTGTCTATAGTTGTAGTGTTTCTGTGTTAGTAGGAGGTTACACTGATATTAGTGAGGACATAGACCCTACATATGACCCTAAGACTAACAAAGGGAAGGGAGTTGCAGTAGCTGGTGAAAGGAGGGTGTTTGGTGATGTGTACACTGATGAGGATATTAATGAGGAAAGCTATGATGGGGTTAAACCTGGTCCTGCAGCTGAAGAAAAATTGGATGTAGGGTTGGAGCAATTAGGTCTAGAGGTTGAGAAAGAATATGAAGATGCAATTTTTAATGAGACATTACAGACAGATTCTGATGTGAGTGATGAGGAGTAAAACACAGCTAGACAGAGGGTTAAAGCTTGTAGTACACAGTTAATTCAGGTTGCATCTAAAGTTATACATGAAGTAGCTGAGGGGAACCTAAGTGTCTAAGATCCAGTGACTGAAGGTGAAACTTTGAGTGAATATGAGGACTCTGATGAGGAGATAGATACACCACCTAGGAGTGAAGATGAGGGAGGTGATGGTTTGAGGAAGAGAAGATTTGCACTACTTGTAAGCCCAAATATAGATTTCAGTCAATTCAAGTGGAAAGTGGGTTTAAGATTTGCCAAAAGGGAAGATTTCAGGGAGGCAGTTGCCAAATATGCTGTTTTACAGGGTAAGAACTTAACTTTTGTTGTTGGGAACAAGAAGAGACACTAGAGGGTAGGAGTGAAATGCATTAAAGGGTGTCCTTTCTATGTTTATGCATCTTGGCATTCAAGAAAGGCAGCCTTGATTGTGAAGAGGGTGAGTGGAGAGCATACCTGCCAGAGGAACAGGATGAAGAACAGGCAGTTGAAAGCTACCTGGGTTGCCAAACAATTCCTTGAAGTATTCAAAAGCAGACCGCATTGGCCTGCAAAGGAAATAGTGGAGTGCATTAAAAGAGCTTTCAAGGTCATTGTGAATAAGGTGTTTGCTTATAAAGTGAAATATGCTGTCCACAGTCTTCTACATGGTTCAATGCATGACTACTACCAAAAAGTGGGAGTTTATCTTACATCATTGCAGACAAGTAGCCCTGGCAGTACAACTAAGCTAATGATTGTACAGCAGAAGAAAGGTCCACTTGTGTTTCAAAGACTTTTCATGTGCTTTGAGGGGTTGTCCAAGGGATGGAAAGATGGTTTTAGGAAGGTGTTGGTTGTTGATGCAACCTTTCTGAAGACCTTTCTAGGTGGTCAATTGCTTTGTGTTGTTGGAAGGGATGCCAATGACCAAATGTTCCCAGTGGCATGGGTTGTTGCTGAGGGTGAGAATAATCTGAGTTGGGAATGGTTTTTTGTGAATCTACAAAAAGTGTTAGAGTTGGGAGATGGTGAAGGTGTTGCAGTCCTATTTGATGAGCACCAGGTATGAGCACTTTGACTTTTATTCACTCTTAGCACAAATTTATTTTCAAATAATTTTTATAGCTTACTACTTTTGCACTTAATTTGATGTTAGGCTATTGTGAATGTTGTGTCCTCTATTTTGCCCAAAGCAGAACACAGGCATTGTGCCAGGCATATATTTTCCAGCTGGCACAAGACCTATAGAGGACATGAGCTTAATTTGCAATTATGGAAGATTGCTAAGTGTTACAACAAGCCAAATTATGATGATGCATTAAAGGAGCTCACTGTAATCAATCCTGAAGCAGCTGAGGCATTCAAAGCCTATAATCCTAGTTTATTCTGCAGCGCTTTCTTGGGTACTCCAATGAAGACTAATGCAATAACCAGCAATATTGCAGAAACTTTCAATGGCTATATAATAAATGCAAGAACAAAGCACCTGTTGTACATGTTAAAAGAAATCAGAACATGCTTGATGCAGAGGCTACTCAAAAAAAGGCAAGGGATAGAGAAATGGTCATGTGTTTTTTGCCCAAGAATTCAGGCAAAATTGGACAAGGAGAAACACAAGGCTTCATACTATGATGTGCAGCCTTCCACAGACCAATTGTTCAATGTCACCCATGACCTAGACCAGCTTGTTGTTAATTTGCAAGAAAAACCTTGCAGCTGTAGGAAGTGGGAAATGCTTGGCATTCCCTGCTGCCATGTAGTTGCTTGCATCTTCTTTTTTAACAAAGAAGCAGAAGACTATGTGGAAAGGTGTTACACAAGGAAGCATATCTACAGGCTTATGCAGGTATACACTAACTCTTCTCCTCTCTAAGACTAATTTACCAACTTCTACTACTAGTTTACCTGATGATGCTTCTATAAATTGACTGGGACAGGTTCAATTCCACCTCTTGAAGGTGAGAGGTTTTGGCCAAAGGTGCAATGACCCCTAGACCCACCACCAATTAAAATTGGTTCAGGGAAGCCAAGGAAAAATAGAATTAAGGACCCTTTTGAGAACTCTAAAAAACCTGGCTATTTGACCAAGTCTGGTGTTGAGATGACCTGTTCCTTGTGCAAACAGAAGGGACACAACAAAAGAAGATGTCCTAACAAGGATACAATTACACCCCCTACTGAACCACCAACAAAAAGGCCTAGGGGCAAGCCTAGAAATGATGGCCAGCCACCTCATAGCAATGTGCCTGAAAACCCTCAAACTTAGCTCACAATATCTGCATCAGCTCCGCACCATTCATTCACTGCCCAGCCTGCACAGCTTGGGAGAGGTGGCAGAGTTATTAGAGAAGGGTTAAGATCAAGAGGAGGTGCTCAAAGTTCTGCTACATCTGCAACTTCTTCTGGTGGGAGAGGACAAGCTCAAAACTCTACAGGGAGACGAAGAGGCCAAGCTGAGAGCTTTGTAGGGAAAGGAAGAGGTGGTAGGGGAAGACAGAGAATTCCAAGAGGAGTGGGTGTGTACATTGCTGAGGATGGGAGTATAAAACCCAATGTATGTGTTTAAAAATTGCAAATTGGTTTTGTTATCTCTGTTGTTTCAGCTATTCTAACTTAGCCTACTTTTACATGTGATAGGTGTGTGGCCAATCCAATAGGAGAGGAGGACTGACACTCAGGCCAAGCCGGGACCAAAGTTTGAATTTCATAATCCCAAGTCAGCAATCAACCCTCCATCAGCCAACTAAGTAAAAATCTTTTCATGTCAAAGATAGTTTAGTTAACAAACTCCCCCTTTTGTGTAGCAGTTCCAGACTAATTACTATTAACTTAGGTTCAAGTGGATATTGTTTCACTTAAGAATTAGGGCATAATTTCCTTTTGTGTATGAAACTATTTGCCGCAGCCCTATTATTTTGGATTTGTGAACTTATATGTTGGGTTGGTACATAATGTACCTATTTTGGTAATGACTATGTAACTATTTTGGTAATGACTTTGCATGATTATTTGTTTACGCGCAAAAAAAAAATACAAACATGTTGTTCAGAAAAAAACCATACTTCATTTCATTTCATTTCAAAAGGTACACACCATAAATCCTACTTTAAGTACAACACCACCATGGCAAAAAAAAAAAAAAAACCAAGGAAAATAAAATGGCAATAAACAAATTAGTCTCATTCCTTGAACATTTCATGAGCTCAGTCCTCATGTCACATAGTTCTTCTTTCAGTTG